AAAAAAAAAATGCGACTTTTTCACTTTTCAGCTTTCTTTTTTTAGAAATGTTCCGTAAACCAATTTCCATTCTATTTCTATGACTTCATCAAACAGATAAATTTATGACGACAGACTGCTTTTTTTAAAAAAAAAAAAAACACAGGCTATCAACCAGCAGTATTTACCTTTAAAGTAGCAAAAAAAAAAATCATCACAGACATCAGTGGATACAACAAAGACGTTGACCGGAAATATAAAAAGTTATTACTGTTAAGATAATGTAGTATGACGTCGGAAAAAGAAATATTAGATACAGAATTGTTTTTCTTCACAAAATTTACGGTGAAATCTGAACCAGTACTGGGTAAGCAGTTTATTTGCTGATTGCTAAATACAAAGCGTAAGAATCTTTTTGCCACAGTCATGTCGCCCGGGTTGACAACTTCTACAGAACAAGACCAACAAACAGAAGGAAATGCAGGAAATAAATGCATGAAAAAAGGGGGAAGAAGTAGACCTAAGAAATGAAATAAAAAGAAATTTTCAGCATTCATTTCAGTGTGTCTTTTCTTCAATTTTTTTTGGCTGTTCAAATAGCGCCCTCTATGGAACGTGCAAGTATTTAGTGGCCTATTGAAAAGCAACACAATCGAGAATTGATGGAACAAAATTAAAGAACAGTGTCGTTTTTCCAATTTGTTGCCATACAACGAACAAACCACAGTCCAAAGGCAGCCTCAATGCTATCCCTTTAAATAGCATTAACTATACAAAACTATAATTACCTTCTGACGTTTGGACGCCTGATGTTTTTTTGGTAATTACACTAACCAGGTCGAATCACCAAAAAAGTTATCCAATAGAAGAAAAATAATTTGTTTATTTTATTCTCCATGTTCCACTTATTAAGCAACAATTGTAGCCTATTTATTTCAACTCGAACATAGAGTCCTCCCTAGATAAGGATTGCCAGTTGCCGGCAGAAGAATAGAGACAAAAACTTGATTTGTCCAATAACTATCGTTCAATTTTGTGGACAAAATTTTTAGCAAACGTTGGCCGCCCAACAATTAGCCATCCTACTTATTTCCTTTTCTTACTATCGCCCTATTAAGGAGATATTTCATCAACAGTTTATCGTATTTGTATCTTTACAACTACATCACATAAATCTGTTGGCAGGCAAACAAAGATTGTGGGATTTACTTGAAGCAACCAACATCAATAAAACTATCAGTAAGTGACAACGGTAACAGTCAAGTCGGATTGTTTAAGTTATCCATTACATTAGTGCTTTGAAAAACAATGGCAAACTTACTTTTATATTTTATTTTACTGAATTATCTGCTACTACAATCCGCCAAATCTACTTTCGTTCTAAAGCAAAAGGAAAAAATGCATTTTTAGTTCTCGTACTCCTCAAAAAATAAGGGCAAAAAAAAGGAGAACCTACTAATATGAAAAACGGCAAAGAAGAATAAAAAAGAAAATAATTTAAAATTCTGCTGAATTTTATTTCGTAAATTGCTTTTTTCTCCGTGCGTTCTTCCTTATTTTCGATTATATTTCTGTGATAAACCTATTCTGCGCACTATCTTCAAATGCTTTCATTGTTGTTGTTTTTTACACAATGCTAATAAGAAATTAAAACAAGATAGAAAGAAAAATGTGAATTAAAGGAAGAAAGGCCGAGGGCAAGAACTGAAGTAAGAATAAAAGTTGAGACCTTAGGTAGCAGTTGTAGAATCCTCAAAAATCATCGACAGCGACGTCACTGGAAACTGTTCATTGCTGAAACACAATTTTTTTCCTTCTACGGAACGGATAAGGAGAAAAAAATTAACACGTTGCTCAAGAAGTAAAGTGTAACCATGCGTTTGACAACAAGCTTTTGTTTACCAGCTCCTATGCACCTCCGGTTTTCTTTTACGCTCCAACTTCCTTCCTTCATTTAAGTTTACTTTTTTCTCCTCGGAACAAATAATGAAGAAACAGAAAGAAAAAACGGAATAAAACTGTTTGCCAGCATTGATAGAACTGCAGCAGCCTTCCAGTGATTCACATGCATGACAGCTGACCAAATCGACACTCCTAAAACACCGATAATTCTAGCAGTATGTTTCACAACATTAACCTAAACGGCTTCCGGTGTGTCGTTATCCCAAAACTAAACTATCGATGTTTAGGTTCAC